AGAGTACTGGAGTGGGGTGCTATTGCCTTCTCCGACCCAAAACTGCAAGCGGTACCAAATCCTATATAGACAATGTTTTTTCTTAGTATACAAACCTATGGTAGAGTTTAATTATTTAATTAGTCACAGGAAAAGATTAACAACTACTAATAAAATAGAACAATTATATTGTAAAGTTACGTGAACAGTGGTCTCTCACACACACGAATTATTTTATTGTACAAATTTAATGTCTTTTTCATCTTAATTAAGCACTTACCATGCACTGTGGTCATAACTATTGCAGTTTGAGGTGCAACACAAAACACACAGGATTTTATTTCCCTTCTTCACAATTTCATGAATAGAAGATTCAGGTTCGTCCCTACCGTAAATCTTAGCAGTCTCGACATTTTTTCTTTTTTTTCCTCTCGCATCCTTTCACTTAGGGCAAACACGTAGGGCTTTTATTGGCATGTGCAAACAACCAGGCCAGCAGCACTACCCTCGCGCTTTGGGGCCAGCATTAAGAGAAATAAGCGGGACTCCAAAACAAACGCGAGACTTCAAACCCAGGAGAGCATGGATCTGATAAGCAAGATGGCTGCGGAGTGAGTTAGAGCGGAAACGCTCGACTCCGGACGGATTCTCAGGAGCAGGACAGGGAGAGACTTCGTCAAGCTACTTCAGAAAGGTTTGCAATTTCAAACGTATGAATTATTTCTGGAAGTTTGTCTTCAGTAGTTTTGGACTGTGGTTGACTGTGGACACTGTGGAAAGCAAAACTGTGGAGAAGGGGCAACTACTGTACACATATTCAAAAATTTTGTCCTAATTTCTCTGACTGAATATGGCAAATGATACATCTGCAAAATTCGCTAGTTTATTGCCTGGTGTATAACAGGAAGACAGAAATGTTCGATGAAGTTCTGAATCCTAATAGAACATTTCTTATGTCTTTTTATGGTACTTGATAAATTTTGTTGCCATTATAATTATTAATATAATGATTTTACTAGATTTTGTGAAGAAGGAAATGCCTACCCACTCCAGTATTCTTGCCTGGGAAATTCCATGATCAGAGGAGCTTGGTGGGCTACATTCACTGGGGTTCCCAAGAGTGGGGAGACTTAGCAAGTAAACAACAACACTATATGATAAGCTTTTAGAAGATAAGTATCGAGGGGCAAGGGTTTATACAAGGAGTGTGTGTGTACTCAGTGGCTCAGTTATGTCTCACTCTGAGACCTCATGGACTGTGGCCCACCAGGCTCCTTTGTCCTTGGGATTTTTCAAGCTCTACTACTAGAGTAGGTTGCCATTGCTTCCTTCCAGAGGATCTTTCCCACCCAGGGATCGAACCCACCTCTCCTGCATTGCAGGCGATTCATTTCCACTGAGCCACCTGGGAAGCACATACATGGAATGACTGTCGAAAAGTATTTTAAAATTCAGTTTAATTAAAACATTTGCTTCATTTAGACCTACTCTTAAACTGATATTGTTTCTGTCTGACTACAGAGCTTAGAAAGTTTAAGTAGCACTTTTGTTCTTATTTAAATATTTATTTACTGGGCTGTGCCAGGTCTTGGTTGCAGCATGCAGGATCGATTTCCCTTACTAGGGATCTAATCTGAGGCCGCTGCATTGGGAGCCAAGAGTCTTAGCCATTGGACCGGCAGGGAAACCCCAAGTAATGCTTTTAAATGTTACCCTATGTGGCTGTGTAATGGTTTTCTATGGCTTTCACCTCTAAGATATGAAGTTCCCTTTCTTCGGAGGAAAGAATTTTAGTTCCTCAGTGTGGAGCCCCCACTTTTCAGCTGAGACTCCATGTGTTTCAGGGGAAGGTGGCTCATCAATGCAAGAGCGAGCCAGTTACCCAGGCCTGGTCACTCAGGGTATCTAAGTCTCAAAGGCAGTGAGCGGCTCAGCATGGTCACGTGACCCGCTCTTATTCAGTCAGATCTTAATCTGAGGTATCTTTGCTGTGGTGTTGGAGGAAAGACATTCTTTTGTAGAAAGTTTTCTGAAAGAGTGAGATGTAAACCTGAAGCCTCTTGGTCAACTTAGTGTGAGCTTCTGCCAGAGAGTGCTTATAGACAAGCAAGAACAAGAGCCAAGGAATGAATAAAATGATCTTGGTAATCCTGTGTGAGCAGCTGGGTCCAGCCTGATTTTTCTCTCTGGATTTTCAGTTATACAAATCAGTGCCTACCTCTATTCCCTAGGGTAATTTTAGCTTATTTTCTATCATTTGCAAACAAAGGCATTTTATCTACTATAAGCTGAAATTTAGAATAATTATAAGTACATTTTATAGTTTAGTTAGATAACATTATCTTGCAGTACAAAAAATACGGTACCCAAAGTGCTCAGGGTATTAAATGATATTTAAAATACATATGTAAAACATTGGATTAGGTTAGTTTCTAATTGTATGAGAATAGCAAAATACCCTGAAAATATAGTACAATTAATTTTCATCCACTGCAGGAAACATATATATTTCTTTAGGTATATCTTAACGAAATGGGCATATCTCTGTGATGGACCCTTCATGTAAAACATTCTCTGGATATTCTGAGTTTAATTGCCAGAGACAGGATGAATGGTTAACAAAACACTCTTTATCCCCCCAGATGTTTCCCCCAAACTATTTGTCATGGCATTAGTCTCCTCACTTGAGACCGAGTCCTCAACATTTAGCTGTTCCCTTGGATCTTGTCTGCTGAGAGAACTTATTAAAATTCTACTGAGAGGGAGGGGAGTCCTGAATTACAAGTTACAAGAAACAAAGCTCTGGAGTCTTCTCTTGTGAGCATGGATTCTTTTCATCTGATGTCCTAACTCCTGGAAAATAGGATGAGTACATTTTTTTAACAACAGTGGGAGTGTGATGGAGGGAAAAAAAATAAAAAGTATAGTCTGTTTCTTTAGGTACCAAGGATGGTTGACCTTAGGTTAGGGACAGAGTAGGCCACTCTAGAGTAGAGCTTTTAAAAAGAATAAGAGAAGGAATATCAAGGGGAGGGTGAGGCTGTCTCCTTTCAGAATTTTGCTGAATCCTGGCCCCAAGTGAAAGAGCATATTTTTCTTTAAAAAATGACTTTCCAGATGAGAACCTCTGCTTTGTTTTTATTTCACCAGAATTTTTTCTTATTTACTTAAAATGCATAAAGTTATAATAACCTATAGTAACTCATTTGTAATTTCTCTTAAGATTTCATCTGTACATTCCAGAGATAACACACAACTGGTTTCTACACTGTGAGAGCCTCTTAGTTTACATGTATCATCTCTACTTGGTGCTCTTTATAATTTCATAATAAGTATGTTTAATTAATTCTTAATTTTACACGTAATCCAAAAAATATTTGCATTTTAATTTAATAGTTTCTGCAAGAAACAATCATTTAAAAAAGAATTTGGTTTTTAAAAAACTGTAGTGGACTTTGCAGTACCAAATGCTTATGTAGATATTCATTCTTGCTAATGTGTAAGTACTACATATGTTTATTCATGTGATGCTCTTTTATAGTAAAATGAAATAAAGTAATAACATATCAACCAAAACTATCTGAATTATAAAGCTTCTATAAATGTAGAGTTTCAGAACCATAATATTGAAGACAAATTTAAATAAGACTTTCCATTGTGAGGAAATGCAGTAAATTGAAAAGCTCATCAGAATATCAAAGCAAATAAATATTAGCAGGATTCTCTTATACTCTAACAATAAAAAAAAGTATTGAACATCAAGTCCTAATCTCTTTTTTCCAAGATCATTTTAATAGTCAACAAGTAGCTAGCTTCAGTATTGACAATTGAAGAGGTCTTAAAATGGAGTGTACTAGTGTAACTAATAATTTCCTACCAAATTGACCACACTGAAAATCATTTATGTGAGCCTTTCAATAGCAAACAATAAAAGAAAAGAAAATTGTTGTCACTTATCAATCCTGTAACCATTTTTTAATAACATAAAAAGATAGTTTGTGGGGACATCATGTCCCCCATCCAACAGCACAATAAAAATGATATTATGGAAGAGCGTATCATATCTGGAGCTTTTATTAAAATTCCTTCAAAAATCTACATTCAGATTTATTTTAGGTATTTGTCTCTGAGATTAGCAATACTTTTATAATTCTCATACATGTTACATGTTACAGCACACAAAGACATTCTGTAAAATCAAGAAGTCACTATAAAAGAAAAGTTCTTCTCAGTTTATGATTAACAAATTATTTTAATTTCTAAGGTTATTGTTTTGGAAATCTCAAAGAAAGAAAATTATATAATTACCTAAATAACAGAAGGATATTTCTAATTTGCCTCTTTCCCAGATGTAATCCTCTGTGAAGTCATCTGTGACTTCTTTTTTAAATGTAGCATTTTACTTATGAAATAGAAACTTGCCCTCATTTCACCCTGTATCTTAAATAAAATTTACAGGAGAAAAATCAAATGTCATGTTAGAGAACTTTCTTTTGCATTTTGGAAGCTTCCTGTTTTTTAATAGCCATTTAATAGACTACAGATTGAATAAACTACACCTTTTCAAGGGTTTCTCAGCTAACTTTAATACAATACAGTAGTTATCTTTCACGCTGCATGCATGCGATTCAGATGTTATTTTTACAAAATGCCTTTTTATTATCTAGATCATGAAGAGTGCACATTTTTATAAAGCAGTCAAAGATACAAAGTCTCACATTTTCTCTCATAGTTAGTTTTTGAAGCACTTTGAAACTAAAAGTATACCTTACTCTGTTTTTAATATTTTCCTATAAAATCTTAGTGTGATATCTTTTAAAAACTTTATAATTTAACTGTTGCAAATTTAAAAAACAATATTCTTCTCTACACTAAAGGAAACAAATTGATGTTTCAGTCACAAGTGAAAACGGTACAATTCTGTTGGAAAGGTTTGTATGTTGCTACTGAAGCACAGGATACTCTGCCAAATATTTTCAATTTTAAATTGCATGTTTAAATACAAAGTAAAACTCACTTACCTTTCTCTCAGTGCCGACTTGTTACTGGAACTTTTATCAGCTTCTAACTGCTAATGAATCTTTCAACAAAAACGAAAAACAGTCAAGTCAAGTCACATGTCATAAGAGTAGGCCTAGGTTGGATGCTGCTTAATTTCAGTACTGCAGGAAAAAAATAAAAGGCGGGGCAGTGGAGGGGCGGGGTGGAGTGAGCAGAAAAAACTTTTAAATAAAACCACTTCCTGCGCAGATACAGTTAACCACACACATCACATCATTACTTGATTTGAAGAAATTGCCTTCTATAGTCAACGATATTGTTGTTTTCCAAGGTGATTTTCAATTTTCAGACAACGCACAGTTGTAAAGGTTTCATCAGTTCTGATTTAATGGGGCAAAATGTGCAATTAAAACTTTAGCAGGGGGAGGAGCAGCCTGCTAAGCCCTGGGAACACTTCCTCTTTCTCTGCCTTCTAGCAAGGGCTTTACGCCTAAAGCCTGCTCTCCTCAGTGGACTGGAACAAGTCTGTATGCCTTCGGAAGGCTCTGTTTATTGGCTTAGGAAGCCAAGAGGCCACCTGCATTGACAGAGATGGTGCTTCTGTGTGACTCACGGAGGGGCCCAAACAGAGGTGCTCCGTTACTAAGTTCTTGAGGCTTTGGACAGCCTGCATTAGAACTTGGGAGAATACCACCCGGGGCCCTGCGGTCACCTGGAGGTGGGGCGGTGAGAGGCACTCATCTAGAGCAGGCTGTGACATTTGCTCTGGTGGTGGCTCTCTTTCTGGTGTATTCTCTGTTTCCTAAGTGGTTCTGAAATCTGCTAAGGGGCTTTTGATATGGCTGAATGACTTTTTGTGTGGCCTGACTTAAAAAGAAAGAATAAAGGATTCAAGGGGTATCATTTTTGGCATGCTGCTCTGTGTCCATCTATGTCAAACTTTAACCAGTCCAAGACACATTTAGGGTGGGAATGGGAAGCTCAAAATGACTACAGGGTGTGTGTTTTTATTGAACCATGGAGTTTTAAGAATAAACTCCTGGATGTCCAAGCTTGGCTGGTTTTGTGAGATTTGTAGGATCTTCACGAAAGGAAAGCTTTTCTTCCAAATATCTGAGAAAATTAAATCAGAATCTCTTGTCATAAAACCAATTAGACTAGAAAAATCTGTGTAATAGTTCTCAGTAATGTGGAATGTTTGGCACACATAAAGAAAATCTTTAAAAATATGTTTGGTATTTATGGCCAAAGATAAGCATGGCATGTTCCTGCAAATTAATTTCTCTAGGACTCTCATTTTAAAAATCATATTTCAGATCTACCATAGAACTTACTGTCAATTGTCATTCCAGGATGCACCTTTTTAAGTTTTTAGAGCCCTGACAGTTTGTACTCAACTTTCCTCAACGTTGTGGAGAAAATAGAAACAACATGATACTGAAAGGGAGGAAATCAGGTTTCAGGCTTCAGTTCTGACACTGCTATTTATTTAACCTTGGCCAAGTCACTTAAATTCTCTGGAATTCAGGTTATTTGTCTCTGTAATACAATATACAAATAAAAATATCTATCTTCCAGAATAAAATTATTGGTTGGTATACTCAAAAGCTTCCCAGGTGAAATCTGAAAGTAGGCCCGATACATTGAGAGCAAGAAGAGAACAAAGAAAGAGACAGAGCAATCTAGAGTGGTGTGTGCCTGCTAAGTAGCTTCAGTTGTGTTCGGCTCTTTGTGACCCAGTGGACTCTCACCTGCCAGGATCCTGTGTCCATGGGATCCTCCAGGAAAGAACATTGGAGTGAATTGTCATGCCCTCCTCCAGGGGATCTTCCTGACCCAGGGATCAAACCTCCATCCCTTTATTTCTCCTGCATTGGTAGGCAGGTTCATCTCTAGCACCACCTACCAGACTGGTAGATGGCAGATTTTTAATAAGCAAGGGAACTCACGTTACAAGGATTGTCTTGGGTGGCTGCAAGACAAATAAATCTTTGTACTTGGCCCCCAGAATCTTAAAAAATTTTATATAGAGGACTTAACTGGGTTCAGTTAATCCTGTAGTCCATACGGTCCCAACAACACATTGCTCTCTCAGACTCTGTCCTTAAAAATGGCTCCCACTATGGGAACAGTGGCAGAAACATACATTCCAGGTCAGGGGAGGAGGTGAGGAGCCTCTGATTGCCTTGGTCCAGTTTGTGGTTCAACCGGAGGTCACATTCTCCCAGCTACCTCCTCCAACAAAAAGTAAATGGAGTTTAATCTTCTATTTAAAATGGATAGCCAACAAGGACCTACTGTATGGCACATGGAATTCTGCTCAATGTTATGTGGCAGCCTGGATGGGAAGGGGGGCTTGGGGGAGAATGGATACTTGGATATATATGGGTGAGCCCCTTTTCTGTCCACCTGAAGTCATCACAACATTGTTAATTGGCAATACCCCAATACAAAATAAAAAGTTTAAAATAAAAAAGGAAAAAGAAAAAAAGGTTTAAATATTTTGTACGTAGTAAAGATAGGCAGATATTAGCATGAGCTGGGAAATGCTGCTTCCTCCCAAGAAGCATAAAAATATTCAGTACATTCTACTTGATTTAAGCCTTTCTAAGTCCAAGTCCTTGGTTCCTCAGTGATGAAGAATCTGCCTGCCAGTGTAGGAGACATTGATTCGATCCCTTGGTAAGGAAGATCCCCTGGAGAAGGAAAGGACAACCCACTCCAGTTTTCTTGCCTGGAAAATCACATGGGCAGAGGAGCCTGGTGGACTGTAGTCCATGGGGTTGCAAGAGTTGGACACCACTTAGTGACTAAACAGCGAGTCCAAGTCAGGCTCAGACATGTAGAACGAGGAATGTAGACCATTCCTTTTACATAGGTACTTATATCAGATACTGGAATACGAAAAAAATATAAAACACCAGTGTATCCTTATGGGAAATAAACACAAACATCTACTTGAAGGTATAAATTTTCAATGTTTATTTTTCATCATGCGTAAGTAGACATTAAATAGAGACAAAGCATGATTTTTTATATAAAATGGGAAGGGAGTAACTTAGGCAGTGATGAATCTGGGTTTCATGGCTAGAGGAGATGTGGTTACTCTAGTTTAGACTTCAACACTTGTGACTCAATATGTTCACTCTTCCCAGTGTTTAATATTTGACCACTTGCTCTAAGCCAAGAAGTGTACTAATCCTTTTACATTTATCCTTTTATTTAATCCTCACAGAAACCTTATGAATTAACCAATATTATTGTACTCTTTTTTTTTTTTCTCTCTTATGAGGAAACTGAGGTTATGTAGTTGCACAGTTTAGTAAGCAGTAGAGCCAGGAGTCGAACCAACAGCCCTGATCCCACAGTCTTTGTTCTAAAATACTATGCTATTTCCTAACTACATTTTATTCAACACAACTCAAGTAAATAATACTATGGAGAAGTTTCACCCCTTGTGTTTCTTTTTACTTCTTCATGGACAGGAAGAATAGACTCAGCAGGTAGAAATCATTCTTGGCACTCATGCTAAAGTCAGATCTCTCCAAAGTTCTCTACATTTAAATCTATATTGAAGAGACTGAAAGAATTGATAAATAAAAATACACTATGTGAATAAATGAGAAAAGTAACACTGAAGATGCGTCAGTTTGTCCAAGTCAATCAACAGATAGATTCAATAAAATCTCATTTATATTGCAGGTGAAATTTTTAAGAAACATAACAAGCTATTCCCAAAATTTCCATAGAAAAATAAATGTCAAAACATACCTAAGTTTCTTTTGAAACAGAACAGCAAAGACTGATGACTTACTGGTCATATATCAACATAGTCCAAGTCATAGTATTAAAAAAACATTTCAATACTGGTCCAAGGGCAGATCGTATTTATTTGAGTTCTTGGTATATGACAAAGATGACATCATAAAGTAAACAAAAAGGAACAGATTGATTAGTAGATGATGCTGGCAAGACACATTCACTAAATCACGGAAAACAGTGTTGAGTTTCCTACATTAGGCTACATGCAAAGATGGACCCTGGATGGAATAAAATCTACATTTGAAAGACAAATCCATAATGTTAATACAATATAATAAAGAAATATATTTTTGCAGAGTGCAACTTTTATAAACAGTATCCCTAAAAGGAAAAGAAAATACAGACTTGACTGTGTAATAATTAAATAATTCTGTTAATTATAAAATAGTATAGACAGAGTTACAGAAAAATAGCAGGTTGGTAGAACATGCATAGAGTCACAAAAGATTTGTGCAAGTCAATAGGAAACCCAAATGGGAATTAAGAAATTAATTTGAATAAACGATTCATGAAAAAGACTGCACTAATATCCATCAATATGTAAAGAGATGTACAACACCCCAGTAGTCATTGTAAAAAGAAGTTAAAGTACTCCTATTGAAATGGCAAAAATCTGGATGAGAATTTATAGAAAGGACCTCTCATATATTGATGGTCCAACTATAAATTGAAGCTATTCTGACAAGCAATTTGGCAAAAAAAAAATAGCAAAATAAAGTATATGCATGCACTGTGTTCCAGCAACCCAGTTTTGGTATAACATAGCTTCAGATAAATCCCTCACAAAGAAGTGTTTTCCCCCCTTTATCACAACAGATTAACTGATTTAGGTCTTGGTTCTTGTCACTCAGGTAATATTTACTTGTATCTGGGCATTTGTGTATAATTAGGGGGGAAACCCCAGAAGTTTCCAGGCCCTCCAAAGAGATGTTATGAGTTAGATGCTAAGGGAAAGTAGAAAGAGAAGAAAGGCTTGACTTACACTGAGGAAGACTTTGATTTCCTGTGACAAAATGGGAGAGAGAAATGGGTTTCTTGCATTGGAGGAGAGCTTGCTCCGCTCACAAGAAACTCTCCAGCATTGGTGAACACTGTAATCTGGGGGCAACATCTGTTCACCAATTGAAGGCTTACTATGTACCAGGGAATATAGTAAGCTTTAGGGATGTGTATGTTAGTTAGAAAAACATAAAATAATTTATTGATAAGAAGAATGAAAGCAGTAAAATGGAACATAAAATGTTCAGAAGGTATAAGATTGAAGGTCAAATGAGAAGAGAGGACTCAGCAAGGAAAGTAAAGATTTAAAGAAAG